CCCCCCCCCCCCCCCCCACGGGTTCAACTCCCCCCTGGGACGCTTCCGGTACGTGCTATAGTGCTATGTTTAGGTGGCAGGTGAAGTAGGCCACTGTTTGAGTTTGGAAGGGGGGGGCATGAAACATGAAATTTACGCGAGGGTTCAAGGCTTCAATGATGAGCATCACGGGAAGTCAGAAACCAGGCGTATCAGATACACGTGCCTTTGAGCTTCCTTCGGCATCTCAGTGCATATGGCTGACACTTCACTCGACAAAGATGCTCAAACAAACATACATAAACCAGGTGTATCTGATACGCCTGGTTTGTGACTTCCCGTGATGCTCATGATGCTGCGTTGCTTTTCTTCAGTCCATCATTACATATACATGACGATGCAACAGCAGATTCAACAAGCTCACAGGTTCATGACATCGACATCGATAGAAGAAACCAAACAAATCATGCAAGCAGCTTTGTTTTGCCTCTGGGACACCTTTTGGGCACCTCTTATGGCATCCACACTGGTTCAACTCCTCCGTGGAGGTTTTGGGATACGGTGCAACAGATTCAACAAGCTCACAGGTTCGTGAACACATCGGATGCATCGAACAGTGTGGCAAAGTCCAGCCACGCTTCCTTAATTATCGGGGCCTTCAATTCTAAGGTTGGCTGTGTCATTGCTGTTTGTGTGTCTTACATGTTCACAACGTTTTACCTCATGAGCATTTGCCTCACTCCGCTTGATGTCCCACCAGTCCGGATGCACCCCTGCTAGCTTTCGTCACCTACCCTCGGCCTCAAGTTATAAGTACTATTTTCCTCTAGCCTACTGGACCTGGAAGTTTGCACACGCATCGGGTTTGGTCCCCAGGCAGCTTTGGCTGTCGCCAACTTCTCTTCGGTGGACGTGCATGGCCCAAGATGGGTGGATGGACGAAACGCCAGCGGTCACGCAGCGGTCATTCTTGTCAAGTGGAGATGTCGTTTCGTGTTCTTCTTGTTCTGTTTTTTGACCATAAAACCGACTTGAACCCCGAGATGTTCACAGAAATGAAACAACTCACCGACTTCATGTCCAAGCGGTGCTCCTTTCCAACAAGGTGTTCCGACTTTCACTCCTTCGGAGCACGAAGGTCCAATGCCGTGATTTGGTCCTGCAGAGCGCCGTGGCGATTCCGGGCTTGCAGCATTTGGCCATGAGCCAGGAGCCGGTGTCAAACGGAGCTCGCTTTCTTTCGACCAAACAGAAAGAGGACCTCTTTCACAGCAGATCAAGTGAAGGAGTTCACGAACCTTCATCAACATGCAGACACATCTGGAAATTCTCAATCGAACCTCACTTTCGGAGTCGGGCTATTTGGCCCTCCTCCCACCGCGAGGAGCATAGCATCCGGGTTCGCCACCCAGGGGGTCTGTGGGAAGAACGGCAACCGTTCGGGAGCAGTTGCGATTACACTCCCTGAAAGAATCGTGGTTATGTGGATGGCATGTTGCCTTGGATGACCATTTCCCTGCAGTAAACAGGTGGTTTTCTACTTCCATGATCATTTCAAATCATGGAAGAAGTTCCTGTGCCGTAGGTTGACCTAGTAGCTTACTCCCTTGCTAAGTGAAGTTGGCACCTACTTAAATAATTAGGAGCGGGCTAAGAAGAAAGAAGGAGGTCAAAACCGGTGTCGTGCTTGTTTAGAAGACCGACTTGGGATATTTTCGTACGAGAAAATCGGAGACAGAGTTCGGTGGCCACCAGCTTTCAAGCGACGTGTCTCGGCTCTGTGTTTCGGTCCGAGACGGCAACATGGAGCAAGTGCATCGCTAGTAGTAACAAGTGCCACGCTAGTAGTAACAAGGTTTGCTACTAGAAACAAGTGCATCGCTTCTAGTAACAAGTGCCACGCTAG